CCCCAGGAAATGAATCAGACGAGCAACCTATGCCTCATCTCGCCTCCTCCAAACGAAGAAAGAGACGATTTTGTCAATGGTGGGTCAGTTTACAAACGTGTCCTGCGCGGGGTGAGTCAGAGCCACTGACCCATCTCCCAGCAATGCAGCCACAGATGCAGCTCAAAGCCAGCTCAAGATAAATCCATTTCTTCAAGAAATGAATCCTCGTGCCCRTGGTGGGCATGAGAGTGAAAATGCAATCTGCCCATGTGTCAGCCAACTCTTGCTGCGTTCGAAACTGCGGTCAAAATTCCCTCTCTTGTGGGAGCAGAGTCATCCCTCAGGACGTGGAATTGTGATTCCCATTTGCTGATGAGGAGGAAATGTGGATTTTTGTGAGACAGAGGTGCTGTGGGCACCTCCAACTCGCTGCACGGGAGTTTAAAGGAGAGGGGACAGCATTTCTGTAGGATCCATGTCCTTTCAAATRTTCCCAGATGGGCATCACCCATCTGAGATAAAAACCAGCAGCAGGTGGGAAGCGCTGCTGTCTCTGGGTTTGGCTGCAGTGGGTTCCAAGTTTGGAGTTTTCCACAAAGCTGGACAAATATTTATGGTTTTTTCCCCTAAACACCAGCCTTTGTAAACGTTAGAGCTGTTAAGGGATGTGTAAAAGCTGTTGTCACAAAACCACCATCAGGATTTGTTGTTGATGTTTTGGTTGTGGGAGACGTAATGAGATTTAGCAGAGAATCTGARCTGAAAGAGGAAAATTTTAATGGTTTTCCCTGGTGCCACTTTCCCCAGCTCTTCCKGASACTAAACCTTGTTAAGTGTGTTGGTCCTCGTGGTTTTGGGGTTTTTTTCAGTGAGTTTTCTGAAGMTTTCCAGGCTGTAAAAGTGTTTAGGYAAGAGGATATTTGGTGGGTCAGTGATGAGATCACAATTTATTGCTGGCTGAGATCCATCCTCTGGTGTCCTGAAGTGGGATAAGAGGAATGGCTGAGAGGTTGCAGGACTTTTTTTTTAAAGATAATGTTCATCTTTGGCAAGATCTTGATATTCAACCAGTTCTTAGACTGTTTATTGGTGCAGCTTTTCAGTCTCTTGGCTCAAAGTTCGCAAATATCAGCAAAGTGGCAACACTGGGGCAAAAAAAAAGTTGAGAAGGGGGTAGAGAAGGGCAAAAAAATGAGTCAAATTTAAGTTTTGGAAGTCCTTGGCCAACACTTTGACCATGAKTCCTCTTCTCTTTAGGGTTAAACGTTTCCTCTTGGAAAAAAAGCCTGAGTCTCTCGATTATCCACGCAAACCAGGCCTGGGCTTTGATTTGTAGGGTTTTGTCTGCCACGCTTTTCAAAGGGATCGAGCTTAATTTAGATCCCACAGGAAAACCTAAACTCGACGGTGCAAACGAAGCTCCACTTTCCCCCTCTCATCCTGAGGCATCGTTCCCCACCCTTTCCTCCTCCCAAAAAAAAATGTAAAATAAAATTTAAAAAAAAAAAATAATTGGTGCTTTGAATCCAGTGCGTTTGGGGGATCGGTGTGGGGAGAACAATTAAAGCGACGATCTGTG